AAAAAAAAAAAGAACAGGACATCTGGTTTTCTTGCAGGGTTTTTGTTTCGCTGAGTAGTATAGCCAGTGTGAGGCCAGAGCTGAGCTGCTAGTGATCCTGGACAGGAGGCTGAGTATTGCCCTTGGGAGTTCTCCTTCTCCGCATCCTTCCTCCACGAAGGGATCAACCTCTCCTCTAGTCAAATGTTGACTACTGAAAGAAAATCTGTTTAATGAGAGCCAGATTTTTAGCCTGCCTCAGGTCTCTTGATCCAGCTCTGTTATGAGACTTTTTTTTTTTTTTTTTTGCTGAGGAAGATTCGCCCTTTACTAACATCTGTTGCCAATCTTCCTCTTTTTGTATGTGAGCCGCCACCACAGCATGGCCACTGACAGATGAGTGGTGTACGTCTGCACCCGGGAACTGAACCCAGGCCACCTACGTGGAGCAGGCCGAACTTAACCACTAGGCCACTGGGGCTGTGAGAAGGAGTCCCTTCTCACAAACTCCAGTTATCAGCTCTGCAAATCACTACCTCACTGTATCCTCTGGAGCCAATGTTCTGAACCTTGGAGAGGCTGCCTGGGTGGGGTTCCCCATGTGTCCCTGTAGCCAGTTAGACATTTGTTGATATGATTTTTCTACTTTTAACAGCTAATGACTGGACTAGCTGAACTTATTTGATTTGTTTCTCTATTTCATAGTGTTTCAAATAAAACTTTATAGTAGTTAGTATATATGATATAGATGTGTAATGATCACAGTTCATGCATTTCATCAAACACTTGCCTCTGTACCTTTGTTCCTCACATCCTCTACACCTCAAATATCTTTCCTTACCTAATGAAATATTTTTCATCCTTCAAGGCTCAATTCAAGCACCTCCTTCTCTGTGAAGCTTGTCCTGATCCTCCAAGTCATAATTAATCAATCATTCTCCTACTACATTCTCACACCATGTTATTAGTTTCTCTTCTAGCTGGGAATTATAGGCAATAGTCTCTATGTCTGTTTCTCACACAACACTGTAAGCTACACCAGGGCAGGGACCATTTCTTATTCATATTGATTTTACCTGCAGGTATCTGGTTCTTATCAAACTAGAGTGCTGGACTTCAAGACTCAGGATAAACATAGATCATATCCAGAGTAGTAATTTTACTCAATGGTAAGCAACATTTAAAATTATCATATATTTTTAAATGCTCAGATATTTTATAAAGAGGTGTGCAAAATTAGCTTGAGTTTTAAAGATAAATTCACTTATATCATTTGTTCACATTCTTCTGACATGAAAAGTTTGAGGACCTTTTGCAGTGGGCACTCAACACAAGTTTGAGTTGAATTTAATTAAATTCCAGAGGATGTTTATGGTTGGTGATTTTTTCCCCCAAAAAAACAATGGGGAGAGGTTGGTAAAAGTGTTCAAACTCTCAGTTATAAGATGAATAAGGTTTGAGAATCTAAGGTATAACATGGTGACTATAGTTGATAAGACTGTATTGTATAATTGAAATTTGCTAAGAGAGTAGAATTTAGATGTTCTCACCAAAAAAAAAAAAAGGTAAATATGCGAGGTGGTGGATGTGTTAATTAACTTGTTGGGGGGAGTCCTTTCACAATGTATCCCTATATCAAATCATCACATGGCACACTTTAAATATCTTACAATTTTATTTGTCAATTATATCTCAATAAAGCTGGGGAAAAAAGAAAACAACACAGCACTTCATTTATATTAATAGCAAGGAAACACATATTTTTTAAATTAATGAGCTAGAAAAGGCAAGCTGGAAAAATCAATGCTATTTCACCTAAATTGGAAACTTTGTTTTAACAAGTTCTCAATCTAAATACGTAGTCTGAGAAATCTTTTGGCGCACTACCCTTTGACAGAGACCAAATACTTTTAAAACACACCAAATGTGCTTTAAAAAATTTTATGATACATCATACACACAAAATTGCGTACACAATATATGTACAAGTTTAATCTTCAAAGCATTTGTAGCATCTGATAAGTAAAATTTTAAGTGAATAATAAATAATAAATATTTGAAATTTTGTGAAAAATCCTTGAGACTTTATAGTCTTACCTCGATTATGAAGCCACTGCCAAGAAGTAGGAGGTGGAGACTAATATTGGATTTTTAGTTAGGTATGTTAGGTTAAGTACAGCCAAATAGAGATGAACCAGCTGTGAAATTATTTGTAAGCTTTGCTTTATACTACATTACTTTAAAACCTAAATTACAAAAATAACTATAAAAGCAATACATGCTTAGGGTAGAAAAATTGAGAATCTGACCTATTTTACCCTCTTTCTCTTTCCTTCTCTTTACATGTAGAAGAGTCAATGGGAAACCAAATGGTCCATCAGGAGTTCCTGGAGGACAGCAGAGGGTGTGGGGGTGTGGAAGACCAGGAGTAAGAGATACACTCTGAGTGACTGATGCTAGCTTGATTACGCATGGGACTCACCGCAGCGCGGGGGCAGATGTGCTGCCCAAATTTTGAGTTTTATCTTACAAATACGGTTTCAGAGCTTTATTCTCCCAATCTCCTTTGTATAGGCAATGACCTTCCAATCAATTCCATTTGATTTTAGCAACATCTTTTTAATTGCATATTATTTCATCAATGATCCCTCAACAACTCTGACTCAAATGGTCTTATCTCCTTTTTATATCTTGGCGACTCCTAAAGTTCAAATGTCCTAACGCAATAGACAAATCCCTTCATGATCTGGCCTCTACCTAGCTCTGCAAACCCATCTTTAGTCACTCTCATATACATACTGGGCTCCCATCACAACGACAGTCTTGGGCCGGCCCCTTGGCTTAGCGGTTAAGTGAGCGTGCTCCGCTGCTGGCACCCGGGTTCGGATCCCGGGAGCGCACCGATGCACCGCTTCTCCGGCCATGCTGAGGTCGCGTCCCACATACAGCAACTAGAAGGATGTGCAGCTATGACATACAACTATCTACTGGGGCTTTGGGGGGAAAAAATAAATAAATAAAATCTTAAAAAAACAAAAACAAAAACAAAGACAGTCTTGTGGTTCCCTGTCCTCTCTAGCCTCTGGGCTTTATAAATGTTTCCTCAGTGGACACCCTTCCCCTCCCCTGGGCTAGCTGTCAAACTCCTTGAGTCCTTCAAGATTCGGTGCAAGTATCACTCTTCCCTGTCTTTCTTGTCATGTCTCGATAGAGTTAAGTCCTTGCTTTTCTGTGCTGCCATAACATCTTGTCCACACTTCCATAATAGTATTTATGTTAAATTATTAATATAAAAATCTTACTTCTACAAGATCAGGGGTCCATATACTCTCAGGGTGTCCATGAATCCCCTAAATTATAGACAAAATTTTATGTAGATTCATTTTCTTCTGGGGAGAAGGTTCAGAGCTCACATTAGACTCTCAAAGGAGTCCATATTTACTCTCTGAAAACCAAATTAAGAACTGCTACGCTAGATTACAAGTCCCTGGGAAACAGAGAGTGAGTTCTGTTCTTCTTTTTGTCTCTACAGTTGGACGCCTAATGTTAGCTGAACGAGCATTTCAGTTGTTATTTAAAGGTAGATGTTTATACTAGTAAAGATAGATAGTAAACCCAACCTCCTCTAGTCATTGATGTTTTTAAGTGGATAGGAAATGTGATACCGTGAAAAGTATATCGGACGAAAGGAAAGATATGGAAGGATTTATGTTAAACTGCTAATAGCGGTTATACTTGGAAAAAGGGATGGGGGTGGGGTTGGGATGGGCTTTCAAGTTTTACTTATACTCTTCTGTCTTGATCAAGTTTGTTTGTATTACAATGCACACTATTTAGATTCAAAATTAAAAAATAATATTTTAAACTATGGGACTTTTTTCTTAAGTGTATCAAACATTCTACCTTCAAATTCCAGCTCTGTTACTGATTTAGTTTTGTGACCATGAGAACTTAACTTAACCTTTATACACTTACATTTCCTCAACTGTAAAATGAGGATAAGCCTTACCTATCCCATGTAGTTACTATATCACAAAGCCTAGCATAAAGTAGAGACTCAGTAAATATTAGTTGAATGTAAAGTAAATGTTGTTGTCCTTAAGATTTTTTTGCAATCCCCAAAGACATCCAAAGTAGAACTCAATTAAAACATCGTTCATTATTGTCTCAATACCGTGAGCAAGCATTCATATACACAGTAAAAGTTTGATGTAACATGACTGGTTTATAAGGTGGCTATCAGCCCTGACTGCTAAGTAATAAAGGAATCCCATAATATATTAATTTGTTAGTTTTTAAACAAAGAAAGTTTACAAAATTCTTCAAAACAGTCTATAATACTTGTACTTCATTCTTGAAGTACCGATTTGAAGTAAGTAAAGTAGAAGCTCTCCGTTGATGTGTGTTCTTACTAGTAACAAGTTCTTTGTAATTTTCACTCACCTCATGGCCTGTCTCCCCCAGTAGGCATCACACCATGTCTTGTGAAGTCTTCCTAATTTCTTTAGAGGTTCTATAAAAAATAAAACGCCGTTGACAATGACAGCTTCCTTATAATTTATATTACCCTTTTTCCTATAATTTCATAAAAGTTTTTATTATGTATGCAATTTATTGTTAAAAATTTCTCATAGTTAAAAATATATAAGGTAAAAAATAGCAGTTCATGTTTCTCTTAGTGTTTTAATTTTTAAGTCCCTTTAATTTGCCTTGAGTAGGCAAAATGACCTCAATATTTATATCTTTGGGGTGACTAATAAAAATAAATTTCTATGCATTTAAAAACATAGCTGGAATACTCCAGCATGGTTAGGGGGCTTTGCTGAATCAGAAGAGTTCAAAGCAGTTCAACTGATCCTAAAATAATGAAAGACACAAATCTAAAGATTTTCCTAAATATCCCACATTAAACGAAATCACCTATGTCAAGTGACAAGTAAAATAGGTTTGTAATAGGTTTTTCTGTAGGGGCTAATTGAGGTGATCCACAGTCAAAATTAAGTACAAATCCAGCTGGAGAACACTGCATGATTTATACGATTTTTGTGAGCAGTACAGCAGGTTCCAAGCCAGCTATATGTTTTATTTATTTTTCATTATCTGAAGCCTCTTGGGCAATTTGGTCAAGTCTCTGAATCTTCCTGGGCTTTGGTTTCTTGATCTGTATAATTGGCGTAGTAATAATAATAGTCACCTCACTGTGCAGATGTGAGGCTTAAGGGAAATGAAGGCTGGGGGGCTGGGGCCAGGATGTGGGAGTGGGCGGTGGGGGGACCAAAGGCTTACTTAGTCACCTTTGTCATTTTGTCAAGGTCCCTGTCCTTTATCCTAAGCAAATCTATGTTTATTCTCAGCTTGGCTTGCTCTTTTTTCCCCCTTAACTTTACAGAAAATTTTTCTTAACAGATTCCTTTTTATGTGTAATGCTGTTCCTTGTCCTGAAGGAATATAAGAATCAATGTAAGGCCTGAAACTGGCTCTGTCAGTCACTGCTAGTTGCTACCCAGTATCCATTCTCTTCTTTTTCTTTAGTAACCCAGTTAAAAAATTATTTTCTGCCTTCTCCTTTACAGCTAGGTGTAACCACAAGAATAGCTTCTACCCATGAGGTATAAGTAGAAATAGTGTGAGTGAGTTCTGAGAAGTCTCCTTAAAAGAGAGAACACATTTTTTTCTTCCCATTCCTCCTTCCTGCTGGCTGAACACCAATGAGCTAGGTGGAGTCCTAGCAACCTTCTTGAACCAAGAGATGATACACCATGGATGGCAGAAGAGCAAGATAGAAGGAACCTGGGTCCCCACACAAGGACCTGCTCTAACAGCTCTGGATTGTCTACCTCTGGGCTTTTTTTTTTTTTTAATGTAACAGAAAAATAAACTTCTAGATTGTTTCAGCCACTATTATTTTGTTTTTCCATCATATACAGATGAACCCAAACTTACTGATCTGCTGGCCCTCTAGGAAGTTGTCTAGAACCAAGAACCATTTTTAATTCTTGAAAGTTTTCTCTCATTTCCTTTGAGCCTGTGTGTGCTTTCTACTTATTAACAAAAAATTCTCCACTCTTCAGAAGCCTCTGGTGTGTTACTCCAGTCCTTGTTTTTACCTTTTCTTCCTTGCATCACCCATATTTTGGATATTATACACTCATTTGAGCCCTTCAGATAGGAACTTGGAAAATGGGGTCACTCTATTAAGGAAGAAAAAAGGAAGTTTGTCAAAAATCAAGTTTTTAGCTTTTTTCTTGGATTATAGGAAAAACAGTTCATTTCAATTCAAGAAGCATGTAAGCACAAACCATGTAAAAGGCGTTGTGCCAGGTGCTGGGAGAAATACAAAAATGACACTGTTCCTCCTTCAAGGAGCTTACAGTCTAGTAGGAAGGATGAGACACATGGATAACTACAGCATGTGATAGATTGTGACAAATGCAATAAGAAAAGTATAGAGTGCCTAAATCCCTCAGAGGAGAAAAGACGAGTTCCAGTAGTGGGGATTAGAGAAAGTTTCTTGAAGAAGATAGGATTTGAGCTGAGCTTTTAATAATACATAGAAATGGTGAAAAGAAGATCAGCAAAGGAATAGAAATAGAAAGTTACGAGGCATAGGTGGATTCAGGGATCCTAGGGAGCATTGAGGGTAGAGTAGGAGGTAAGGCTAGACAGGCAGACTGGGAACAGATACAGGGCTGTGCATATCTTCTTGGGAGCCTGCTCTGCCATGGAGAGAACAAGGAGTCACTGAAAATTTTTAAGCAAGGGAGAAACCAGATCACGTATCTTCAGTAAAAAGATGCCTCTTGTGGCATTGTAGAGGAAAAACGGCTGCAAAGAGGCCAGTGAGCAGGCACCTTTAATAACCCAAGTAAAAGGTAATGATGGCCTGAATTAGGGAAGCAACTATTAGAAAGAAAAGGAGGGCACAGATAGAAGCAACATTTCAAAGCTTACTGCAGGAGCTAAATGCATGCTTTGCCTAGGAAAAAGAGTTGGACTGTAAGTCTCAGATTCAGCAGTAGAGAATATGTCCAATAAAGAATTTAAAAAATTACTCTATGCTTATTTGAACTGGTAAACTAACAGAAGGCTGAATATGCTATAATAATGAACTTATTGGTTCTACAACTTTAGCAGAGCCTTAACTTTTATTTTCCCCAGATATCAATTGGGAATGCACAGAACAACTGCTAGGAGATGGGGAAAGAGTATTGAAAAGTATCTCAGCCAAGAAATGCAACCATCTCTTCTTTCCCATTGTTCATTCTTTGCCCAGGTGTTATGGTAAATAGCAGGTATCAGGGTCCCTTACACAGTAAGGTTCTTCCACGTCTCCCCAATTATGCCTTTGCCCACCCTTCTGCGCCATCTCTACCCACCCCACCCACTCACACATTCCATTAGAAATCCAGTGAAAATTTAAGAGAAGGAGGAGGCTTTCTAGAGAGCGTAAGAGTTTTCTAATATTTGCCTCTTTCTTGCTGACTAAAACCATCCCAGCATAGCCTGAGGAAAAATGGAAAGGGCTAGCGTAGACCCATATAAAGGCATATAAGTAGTCTCCCATCCCCCTGCAAAATTCTAAATAGCTACTTCCTCATTCTCAGGGGATGAATTCTAGAGATATCCTCAAATGGACAAATTTGAGCATCTGATGAGCTGCCACTTTCTCTTTTTATTTTTCTGATTATTTTAGGAAGACTTAAATGGGTGTTAATATCTACTAACATCTCTTTTCTCAATAAGGGCAGGAACAGACAACAAAACAATCATGAACCTACCAGTCAGAAGAGTGTCCTGTGTAATATTTAGCAATTTATGGTTTAGTTCATCTTATCTGGGGCACTGAAAGCACCTTACCAATAAAATAATGATAATTTTGTTTTCTTCCATGATTCCCAAGGTGATTCCTGGCACTCTTGAAAGCGCAAGTAGTTAATCAAGTCATGGGGACAAACAGCAGTAATGTGATTGTCAAAACTATGGATATTGGTTTGACTGTGTTTCACTCTCATGTAAACTCTGTGTGTGTGTGTGTGTGTGTGTGTGTGTGTGTGTGTGTTGGGAGGTAGTTAATGGGAGAATCAGTATCTTTGACACTGTCCCTGAGAGAAGATTAGCAGGAATTATAAAGATTCTTACATTTGATCAAAATCCAGAAACTAAGAAAAATACTGAGCAACTCATACTCCAGTCCTTAAAAAATTCAAGATCAAAGGTTCTTAACCTGGGGTCCACAGATTGGGATTCAGGCCATCTGCAAATCTCCTGAAATTGTAAAATTTTGTGTGATTTTACATTTTTTTTTGCACAGAGTGTGGGCTGGTTTACACAGATTCTTAAAGTGATCCTCGACTCCCAAAAAAGGTTAAGAACTACCGCCATTAAAGAAAAAAGAAGGAAGGGAGGGAGTGAGAGAGAGAGAGAGAGAGAGGAAGAAAAGAAGACTCTTTGTACGCCCATTGCCTGGAGTTTACTAGTGGCCTGCCATGTTAATGTACACTCTTATACACAGAGAAGGGAGAAGGAAGGAGTGGGAATAAAGAGAATGCAAGAGTGTCATCAATTCTGTCCCAAATCAAATCAACCAAATGTATGTGAAATCAGTACAAGGCACTTACCAGTTAACCTTTATATTTGTATTACAAGTTAACAATAGTATGATCATCTTCCTTTCAAAAGCCCCTGAGATTTCAAACTGGGTTAGACTGCATTTTCAGAGCCCATAGTATTAGCAAAAATGTAGATACTAATTAAATTCATGGAAACTATTTAGAGTAAATGTATGTCAAAAAATTTATTTCTCTAGTATAAATTTCTGATCATTTATGTTAAATCCTTCAGAAGTGCCTTCAATGAAATGGCTATACCATTTGCAGCAATATAATTTTGTATTGAAAGGAGCTATTAAAAAAGACAAAAGGGTAATAAAAAGACAAATTTCTCTATTTTCAGAATACTATTGTTTCAGCATATAAAAACCCATATAATTCCAATACTAATAATAATGGAATCCTATTCTCACTTAAGTAAGGAATAGAAAGCTTTCAAAAGAAATCCAGTTCTCATCGCACCCCCAAAACCCACAAAAGGTTTAGAATTAAGTTTCACTAATGTCCCTGTGTAATATATCAGCACACATTTTTCTGTACATAGAGGAGTGAACTCTGATAAATAGAGACTAGAATCCTCTATCCCTTTTCTGTGTTACAAAAGGCATAAATCAACCTCCCTCCATTCCTAATATTTTTCATTCTTTATACTTAATTCCAAAGAGGCATATACATACGTCAGATTTATCTGCCTTGTAAATCAAGAATCCTGTCATCCTTTCTTTGATTGCCCTCAAAATTTAACTCAGCTTCAACTAAATATACAAATAAGCAAAACTCTTCAGTCCCCAAACATTTCAATAGTTGACAACCTGCAAAGGCAGATTATGACATAATATAGAAACTAAGAAAATGAATTAATATTTCACAAATACTACATTGTTATAACTTTTGAATAAAAAGTTATTTCTTTAAATGGCTACCTTAAATAAATGTTAGCATATTTTGGGTCTAAATTAGTAAGGATTAATGGGATTTCTTCTCTTATAAAAATATTTCCCCTCTCAATGCCTCTTAAAACCCATAAAAACACACACTTACCCCATGTTGCTTGCTGTGGTTATATCATCCTCAGATCAAGGCTTTCTGGATTCTGAATTAACTTAAAGGTTATAAAAAGAAGCAGTAGAGAGGTTTGACTTCCCCGGAAAGGAGACTGTCATATGCTAACTAGGCTTTTAAATGAGGAAAACTAGTGTCTCTTCTAATTATATAAGCTCCAGGTCAAATGCTAGCATCCACTAATCAAATAACTGAACTGCGTTTAGTTTCAAGGAGCAAAAGAAAGAAAACTGTTTAAGAGGAATGACTTCGGTATTTAGAAAACTGGAAACCTGAGCATTGAAAAGTTACTTAAATATCAATAAAAAGTTACAGATTTTAAAAGCAAAGTATATATCTTGCTACATTAAATAATTTGAAGAAAAATATTGGGGAAAATTTAGTTTCAGTAAAGCAGATATTTTTCTATATTTTCCACAAGTTTTGAATTTGCATTATATGTCCTGGTCCCTGAAAACATCCTCTCACCTTACCTCAACTTGTCTAGTATTTATCTCCCTATAAATTCCAGTACAATAATATTTAACTCTAAAACCATACTAGTTAATGCTAAGTAACAAATCTGTTGTAAAGACTTTAAATAGAGTCTTTTGAAATTAAATACAAAGCTGTTATTATGAGAAACTAACAAAAATGCCATTTTTATTTCAATATTTTAAAAGACATTTCAACCCAGATTTACAATAGTACAACAAAAAATAAAAATAAAAAAATTTTTGGCAATGATATATTGAGAAACAAATTTTCACAAGATTTTGAATGAATAAATATGATACAGAAGTTACCTACTGCATATACCATTTTTTGTCAATTTGGAAAAATAATTTCAGCCAAAACACTCAGATCTTTTGTAATTTTTAGTATGTAGCTGTCATGTACTGTTCCAGTAATTTTTTTTGTTTTTTTTGTTTTTTTTTTTTTTTTTTGCTGAGGAAGATTCGTCCTGAGCTAACATCTGTTGCCAATCTTCCTCTTTTTGCTTAAGGAAGATTCACTGTAGCTAACATCTGTGCCATTCTCCCTCTATTTTGTATATGGGTCACTGCCACAGCATGGCTGACGAATGGTGTAGGTCTGTGCCCGGAAACCGAACCAGCGAACCTGGGCCACTGAAGCAGAGTGCACCGAACTTGAACCATTTGGCCACGGGGCTGGCCTTGTTCTGGTAATTTTTAAATTATTTTATCTAAAAGGTAAAGAAGCTTTCTAGGTATAGAGTATGTAAGGACACACAGATCTACTTTTTTTTAAAAACTGAGATATAATTCACATACCATACGTAAAACTTGCCCTTTTAATGTGAACAGTTCAGTGGTTTTTAGTATCTACAAGGTTGTGGAACCATCACCACTAATTCTAGAGCATTTCCACCACCCAGAAAAGAAACCTTATACCTCCCAGTGCCTCCCTCCCCTGGCAACCACTAATGTACTTTCTGTCTCTATGGAGTTGCCTATTCTGGATGTTTCACATAGGCCATACAATATCACATAAAGGCCATACAATATGTGGCCTTTTGTGACTGGCTTCTTTTATTTAGTACAATGTGTTCAAGGTTCATTCATGTTATAGCGTGTATCAGTACTTCATTCCTTTTTATGGCTGAATAATATTCCATTGTATGAATATACCACATTTTGTTTATCCATTCATCAGTTAATAGATATTTGGGTTGTTTCCAGTATTGGGCTGTTATGAATAATGCTGCTATGAAAATTCCTGTACAAGTTAATTCTCTTGTGTATATACATAGGAATTGCTGGGTCCTATGGTAACTATACATTTAACTTTCTGAGAAACTGTTTTCCATAGTGCTATACCATTTTACATTCCCACCAGAAATGTTTGAGGTTTCCAGCTTCTCCACATCCTTGCCAACCTTTGTTATTGTCTGTCTTTTTAAATATAGCCATCCTACTGCTTCTGAAGTGGTATCTTATTTTGAGTTTAATTTGCATTTCCCTAAAGAGTAATGATGTTGAGCCTCTTTTCATTTGCTTATTAGACATTTGTGTATCTTCTTTGAAGAAATGTCTACTCAAATCCTGTGCCCATTTTTAAACTGGATTGTCTTTTTATTTATATATGTTTATATATAAGACTGCTTTATATATTCTGGAAACTAAACCTTTATCAGGTTTAGTTATATGATTTGCAAATGTTTTCTCCCATTCTGGGGATTCTCTTCTCATTTTCTTGATGTTTTCCTTTAACACATAGATATACTTTTTAAAGATGACAAAACTCAGGCAGACGATTAGAAATGGACTTTGCCAAGATTTGGATAGTTCTGCCGTGTTTATTAAAATGAGCAAACTCAATTGAATCACAATTTATTCTAAACTAATTATAAGATGATGAAAATAAAGTTCAAAAAGGCATGAGTGATGGTTTTATTGCCAAAATTATAATATAGAAGTAGTGTATGAAGTTATTTCAGATGACAGATTTAATTGTTTTCCTTACAACCGAAAGCTTCAATTACCACATTAAAACTTGAATGCAGAATATCTACATATGGAGCTTTAGTCTCAGGCCCGGAGCAGCTGTGAAATGAAAGTTACCACACCATTCCAGTCCTTGGATGTCAGTATACTGTCCTTCACCTTCCACCCTGCAATAGTAAAAAATAAGTTTGTTCATTAACCAAGACCAAGAATTTATAATCCAGATATAAGATTGTCTAGCATATTATATACCATGTCTGAAGAATTATATCTTTCCACTTTCAAAGTTTGATTTAAAATCTGGCATCTTGCTTTTGCTTTCACATCTTACAAAAAACATTACTATTCCAAATGAACACTGTCATTACATAAATTTTAGTGTCCAAGATTTTAGGATCACATATGCTAAGTTTACACAAAACCAAAACAATCAGCTAAAAAATGAAGTTTATATTAGTTTATTCATTTATTCAACAAATATTTATTGACTATCAATTATGTTTGAGGTGCTGTGCTCTGTGCTGGTGTGTGCTGACTCTTTGGAGTGGTGAAAATGCACTTCACATAAACAAACAGACATTTAACCCATTGGTCAGATTTTTCTCACTTTATTAACATCAGTGGAAAAAGTTTATATGTTATTGTCATAGACTTGGAGTCAAAATAGGTGAACAGGGCCGGCTCCGTGGCTTAGCGGTTAAGTGCACGCGCTCTGATGCTGGCGGCCCGGGTTCGGATCCCGGGCACGCCCCAAGGCACCACTTCTCCGTCCAACGCGAGGCCGAGTCCCACGTACAGCAACTAGAAGGATGTGATCCTATGACATACAACTATCTACTGGGGCTTTGGGGGGAAAAAAATGAATAAATAAAATCTTTAAAAAAAAAAAAAAAAAAAATAGGTGAACACTTTTCTGCCCTCCTCAAAATGTATTCACACCAAGTACTACCTAACAATTAGGTTGTAGGTTGCATTTCCAATTCTGGAAATAATCAAGGGGTATTATAAATGAACATGAACCTCTGGGTGACATGGCATGGTATTCAGGGTGAAGATTAAGCTTGTAAAATTGTGCTAATGTTTCATTTCACTTTCATTTTTCCTACAAGCATATGCTCAGAAAGGACAACAGTGGGTACCTTTCTACAACTGGAAAATTAACTAATTTTGCTTACATTTTAAAAATTAGCCTAGTAAAAATGTACACACATATCAGGTCAAAATGAAATAAACAGTTATGAAATTATCCCCAAGGCTGTTTTTTAAAAAGTTTGTCAAGCTATTTCAAGGGAAAGTAATTTTTGGCCTAAATTTTCTCAGTAATTGTGACAAGCTTTCCATTTCCAAGCTGACTGCAAAAAGTTCTACAGGAATAGAGGAGTCAAGAGGAAATAAATGAAAAGCCTAACAGATAATCACCAGGAAGGATATTTTCTTTTGGAGGCTCATGATGGTCTTAGCCTCTCTTACATTTTTCCTCCCAAAATAACCCAACAATTCTTACAAAATACATTATAAACATATTTTAACTAAATATATTGCAAAAGAATATTTAGCATTAACTAAATATAATATTTAAGCAAACATGGCTGAAAAGAATCTTTTAGAACTACAGTGACTTTTTATTTTAAGCTTACCTATTTTCATTGAAATTTCCAGTGTACTTTGCTCCAGTTGGGAATGTATAAGTCCCCAATCCATGAAACATATTGTCCTTAAAGTGTCCTTCATATACTGCTCCTGAAAAATGCTCAAGTCTTCCAAAACCATTCATCTGTTTGTAACAAAGGAAAATGACCTCAGTAACTAACCTTCAGTTTCAAAAAGGTACACATATGTCTACCATCCACTTAGTTATTAGTCAATCTATCATGTATTACCTTGTATTTCCACAAAAATAAGACAACATTTTTACCATTGTCCTTCACATATTTCTCTGTGAAGCCTGCCAAGTCCAATGTTCCTGAGCTGAGGCATTTGAACATTTTGGGGGTCCATAATGATGAAAATAGGGGTCCTTGAGATACCTTGAATATATGAAAAATCTTAAAGGGCAACCAGTTTAGTTAGCCCAGGAAACAGTATAAAAATGTTGTTAAGAACAAAAATTTATAATCAAGCAGACCTGGGTACACATTCTTGTTTCATCACTTACTAGCTGGGCAAGAAACTTGACCCTGATTTCTCTCATTTGTGAAATAGGAGTATTAACGGTATCATCCTCAAGAGGTTGCTATGAGGATTAAATGAGAAAATTATGTAATGAGTTTAGTTTACTCAAAGAATAGGAGATGAGAAAGATGATAATGATGATGATTAGCTCTCTGCATGAGTTTAATATTACTCATATATGTTAAATATAATCATTTATTTTTATTGTATAGCCTACTCACATGTGTTTTTGATTAATGACAAAATGCTTGGAATCATTTAACCAATAAGGTTACTTATTCACTTCAGAGTTCAACAGAACAATATTACCTTGTCATCTTTCCAGCTTCCTGTGTAGACAATCCCATTAGGAGTGGTATGAATACCTATTCCATTTCTCTCAAAGATTCCAGAAGATGTTCTTGTACAGTCACCATCTAAACATAGAGAAATACTGAAGATTATAAACAAGAACTCTGTTTGACTAAATAATAAAGTATTTATGTTCAGGCCTAATCACAACTGCACCCCTATGGGTCTCTTTGGCTCCCTAGTGCTGAAACCAATGCGACCAGAGATGAGGAGCTCCATGGACCTAAAAGGTCTTGTAACCACTGAGGCTCAAGGGCCAGAAAGATTGACAGATCCCATAGGTTTCCAAGGGATACTGTCTAGACAACATTAGAGTTTAGATTTAAAATCTGTTCACCAATTAGTATTTCCATGTTATTTTATTTAATGAAGTTAATATCCCAATAGTAGTTTTATAAAATGTGACAGTCTCATTTTTTTGCTCTTAAGCTATTTAATTTTAGTCTGTATAGAAAAAGTAATTGAAATGTATGCTTACCATATTTGTCTCCATTTGGAAATATAAAGTTTATCTTATACACTTCTGTAGCTGTTTTAAAAGATTTAAGAAAAGTCACATAAACTTAAATATTTTTATGTCATAAGACCTATAACAAATGTGCTGTAAGAGTTAACCAAATCGACTCACTTCATATGATCACAAGCATATCATGATTACTTGCAATTCCCATAGTTTAGTGTAGGGTCCTGGGAAAATAAATACTTTTGTCTAGATGATCTATTTTTATTTATTTGTTTGTTTATTACAACAGCTTTATTACTATATAATTCACATACCACAAAACTTACCTTTTAAAATTACAGTTTACTGTGTTTTTAGCATATTCAGAATGGTACAACTATCACCACAATCTAATTTTAGAATATCTTAATCACCTCCCAAAGAAATCCTGTACCCATAAGCAGTTATGCTCCATTCCCTTAATTCCCTGCCACCCCTCGCCCCAGCCCCTGGCAACCACTAATCTACTTTCTGTCGCTACGGATTTGCCTCTTCGGGACATTTCGTAGAAATGGAATCACATAATACGTGGTCCTTTGTGACTGGCTTCTTTTACTTAGCATAATGTTTTCAAGGTTCATCCATATGGTAGTATGTATCTGTACTTCATCTCTTTTTAAGGCTGAATAGTCCATTGTATGGAAAGAACATATTTTATTTATTCATTAGTTGATGGACTGTTGGGTTGTTTCCAGTTATGGCTATTATGAATAATGCTGCTATGGACATTCATGTATAAGTTTTTATTTCTTTTGGGTAGCCTATATGATCTATTGATTGTCTCACAGAGGTAAGGTAGAGTGAGGAATCTCTGATTTGGCAGTAGGAGGAAATAGAAAATAAAGAAAGATAGTAAGTGAGGAGGAGTAGGATTGGGGGTCCAAACAGAATGAGACTGGGATGGAGACCAGGTGAAAAAAGAAGTAAGAAAACCACAGGACAGAGGGGTGGGGGCAGGGGTGGAGGTGGGAGTGAGGAATCTATGCCTCAGAGCCCTGGGACATTTAGTGGATTAAAACACGAGAAACTTTTTCCAATACTGAAGAAAACATATATGTAGAGAAGATAAGTAAACTCTAACTTCCAGGACAATAGAGTCTACTAGAATATTACTCAAAGTATGGTCCATGCATCAGAATCATCTGCAAGTTTCTAGGCCCTACCCTTTCCTACAGATTCAGAATCTCTATGGGTGGGGCAAAGGAACTGATATTTTTAATTTAAAAATTAATTTAGGTGCCAGTTGAGAAAGGCTGGAGGTTCATCCTCTTTGAGGAAAGAGTTAATAACACAATAGGTAGAAGACTTTAAAATGCTGTAACATCCTCATAGAGAAAAGGAGCGTATAGAATCCTTGCGGCAGGAACAGGTGGTTACGAAAGAGAACCAACTGGCAATCTAAGAAATGAATAATATAATTGGTGAAATAAAACTCCTTAGAAGGGCTGAATAACAGAATGGATACAACTGAAAACTAAATTAGTGAACTGGAATACAAGGTTGAAAATTTTCCCGGAAAGAGGCACAAAGAAAAACAGAGGTTTCACCTGAGCAGAGCCTTTCTTCTCTCCCTTCACCCCGACTCCTCTAGGAGACCCCACAATACTGTGGGCCTATCCCGACTATAGTACTCAGGGCCCTATTAAACTAGCGCTTTTGTGCCGGAATCCCCCATCACAATACGGGCTCGTCTAGGTCAGGGATGACGGATTAGTCAAATCTCTTTTCTCACCTTAGTGTCCAGCTCAGTGCTTAGTACTTACCGGTAGGAACTGAATGCCTAGTGAATGAACGGCACTTGGGAAGCAATCGTTAAACGCTTTTTAAGCAGAGCACTTGATCATACAAGAAACCGAACTGTTTTCAATTGCCCTTAAATGGTTCCACATTCGAAGCTTTGTAATGTGAAAGTTAGAGGGAACCTAAGAGATCGCGACCATCTGACACTACAGAGGAAACTGAAACCCAGAGAGGTTGGCACTTGCCTAAGATGTCACAACAGCGAATGAACGGCCAAATCAGACCTAGAATCCACGTCTCCTGATTCCCAGGCCAGGGGCTCTCCGCGCCCCCACCCCACCCCCAGTGTAGACGCTCAGGAAATTTGTCACACCCGCACTGGTGTTACTAGGAGCCGAGCTCTGGCTCGATGCGAGTTCTTCTTAAAGGCGCTCTACCGCGCTCGGGGCGTTGCGAGGCGGGCACTCACTTGACATAGACGTGTTGGAAAGATTTTCTTGACTCTGCGATTCCCCTTGGGCCGCCAGCTCGGCGGCCTGCAGGAAACCAAACGCTAGCTCAGCACCCAGTGCGACTCGGTTGCTGTGGCGACCAGGCACCTCTCACCCGGAAGCGAATATGCAAGGGGCGAGGCCGAGCCAATCAGAAGGCGCCAGGGCTGCTGGGCCGCGGCGGAGCCGCTCCAGGTGAGATCCGTGAGGTGGCCGAGCCCTGGCGGGACCCCTCGCCCCTGAGCGCTCTGTCGTGACAGCCGCCCGGAGAAGCAGCGCAGCGAGCCCGGTACGGCCTCCCCTTCCGCGGGCGAGGGATGTGTGGCCTTGTGCGTGCTCTGCGCGTCGCCTTGCTTGTCAGTGTACGGACCCTTCTACCGCCTCCCTCTCCACGAGTGATCAGGCCCTGAGGACCATCCCAGGGCGGTGGGATCCAGCCTGTCTAGCTGGGGCCTGTGAGTCTGGACCAGCAGGGGCCCAGGCCCTGGGACCGGGCCAAGTGGGGGTCGGCACCTGAGGTTGCCCACGCTCAGGTTGGAGGCGGGGGAGCTGATTTCAGGGTCGGAGCGGGGAACCGAGTTGCACTGGAGGGGCTCAGGCTTCGTTTCTTGTCTCTGTCTCCATCTCGAGTGGTTATTTGGGGAGGGGACTGGGGACGACGTATGCTGGAAGAAAGGTACCAGGTCTGGGTATCTGCATATTCAGAGATTTGCCTGGAAGTGGAGTGAGGTGTGGTCGGTTTTCAGTGCCCAGCTTCGTGATTCTGTTCCTGGGAGGCCAAACTTGGGTGTGACACAAGGGATGCACTTCGAGCCAAACTTAGGTTCCTGTGTCCATGGTGAAGAAAGATAGTTGGAATCTTCCCAGGCTAAATGGAATAGAATAGTGGAATCTATCCATGTGGATTATACCACCTAATTCCTATTCCCTAGAAAACGTCTGGGGAGAGTCATATTGGATGCAACCAGCAAGTGTTCGTTTAAATTTTGAGAGCAGGTCTCAGATAAAATTTTAAAGGTACCAATTACTGGGTTGGTGTGAGACAAGTTGTTGATGGCTCTTTAGGCAAGCTAGCTGTGGCTTGGTCTGGTTGGCTAGCCACTAATTCTTTTTTTTCAATGGGAGTGCAGTGTCTTCTTGCTTTTTCTTAACGTTTCTTACTTCACAAACTTACCTGGGCTGGGTGCTTTTTGAGATGAAGCTCTGATCTTTCTGTCTGATTTGTATATCTTTTCCCTTTTTCTAAATTTTAGAAATAATAGGTAATTATTAATGTGCAACCTTAGAGAATCCAGTTTGTCCCATTGTTTTGGTCTCCCATTAAGCTTTTAATGACCCTACATTTTTGTATGTGTATATGTACCATTGTTTTTACAGAAGAACTTGAGGTAGTTGGACTTCTTTCTTATGATGTTCTTACCTAAGAGCATCTGAAGTCAGAGCAAACCTGTAATGATGGAGTTTTAAATTTGGATTGGAAGAGTATATTAACCGTATTTTTTATTTTCTATATTTTGTGATGTTTTGACATCTTGCAGGCCTAGCTGGCCAGGAAGAAATTGCCCTTCCCAGGGCTAGCTAGTTAACAACTCATCTGTGAACACGCCTTTCATATGCAAACCAACCAATCCTGTGCCCATACTCCCAACTACCTCCTTTATCTAATTCTCACACCCAAGCCGATAATTCCTCTGTCCTAAATCAACCCAGGGCCAGGTACCAGGCAACTAGAGACAGCCCCTATGCCCCAAAGTCTGCTGGAATTATTCAAACTAGCCAATCCTAAATGGTTTACCCTGCCCTGCCTCACCTTTCCTGTGGAAACCCCAAGAAAGGCTGTGGCCCATGCCTTCCCCTGGCTCCTTTCTGCCTCCTAACACTGGTGCTTCCCCGTGGCCCGGCATGGCATGGCATGCCTCTCCTTTCTAGCGGAACTGTGAGTAACGTTAAACTTTTCTTTCGATGGCGTTGACCTCTCTGTCACTCAATCACCTTTATAAATTAAGACCCAGGCACAAATCAAGGAAGGACTGGCTTATCATTAAACTTTGAATTGAAGATACAAGGTACATATGTGTAGGGTAAGGGGGAGATATGGTAGAAAGAATTTCAGCTTTCGAGTCAAATGGATTGTTTCAAACCCTGACCCCAGAGTTTGCTGCTATAGTTGGTGACATTAGGTGAGTCATATAATTTATCTATGCTCTAGTTTCCTCCTCTGTAAAATATAGAAAACAATATTTATCTTATCAGAGTTTTAGGAGATTAAATGAAATAATCTTACCTTTCCCCTCAATGCAGACTGGTATATCCAACTGATACCAAGCAAGGGCTTGATCTGCTTGCTGCAAGATAAAAGATCAAGCTGGGGATGGTAGAGAAAGAACTTTAATAAGCCATAAGCTAGCATATCGGAAGATGATGAACTATCATCCTCAGAAAACCTATCTTAAAGGGGAATTGATTTGGAAATGACTTTGGAAATAAGGCAAACAGGTTTGGGGAGGGGACTCAGAAATGTCAGAGGATGGATGACCGCAGAACGTTGAGTGCTTCTCCATAGCAGATCTGCTGAATGCAACATTCCTGAGGAATTGAAGAAAACCTCAGTTACTTCTTTATCTGGGACAGAAGGAACCGTTTGGGCAGAGGACAAGTTATCTTTCTACCAGTCACGGAGTAGCTTGCCTATGTGCAGTTCTAAGCACTTTTCCAGAGCACATTGTGAGAATAAGACGGGCAGGGGGTGCATGTGGCCCTGGGGGCTGAAGTTGGAAGAGTCTTCTGCGCAGGGGCAACTGCTCAATGCTCCTGCCAGATGCTTAGTCAGGCAGAGGGCTGTCAGCAAGCTACTCTGCAGAGCAAGCTCAGAAACTTTGGTTACTTTGTTTCCCACGTTAACCTTGTGGGTACAGGCACAGGCACAGTTTCATCCTAATCCAGCGAAACTTGAACTCCTTCCTCCTCGGTTTCACAACTACCTTCTACATATCTTCATTTGAGTATCTAATAGGCATCTCAAGTGTAACATATCCAATCTGAACTTGTGACATTCCCCAAATCTTTCCCTCCCCACTATTCCCATTCTGAGTACCTGGCACCGCTATTCACCTAGTTAACCTAGGCCAAAAAATCTTGCAGTAATTCTAGATACTTCTTTCCTGTACCTTTCAGTCTAATTCATCTACCTTCCAAGTACATTGAGAATCTATGACTGCTTTTCAACTCCACTTGCTCCCACCCTAGTCCAACTCACTGTACTTTTTGTCTGGTCTGAATGACTGCAGTAGTTTCCTAACTGGCCTTCTGGTTTCTCCTCACCTCTCTACAGTCTTTTTATTCTTCCCATAGCAGCTAGAGTAATTGTTTTAAAACATAAGTCAGTTGTATCAAGCTTTTGCTTCAGCTCTCTAGTGACTTCCTATTATATTTAGAATAAAATTCGAAGTCCTTCCCAGGGCCTAGATGGCCTTCTCTACTCTCTGTCCTCATCCCCTTTCCTCACTTCACTGCAGACCCACCAGAATCCTGACCGTTTATCAAGCCCAGTGCATTGAAGACGTTCTGGACTCAGCACCTTTGCATTTATTATGGCTTCTGCTTACAATGCTCTTTTCACAAATATTTCATGGCTTGTTCTCGCAGTATGTTCAGGTTTCTGCTCAAATGTGATCTCAGAGAGATGACCACTTTTACCTGACCACTCTATCTAAAATAACAACGTCAGAGTTTTGCTTTTTCATCAAAACACTTAACTGATACTATATATCTATTTATTTGTTATTTGTCTTACAAAAAAAAGAAATTTTGTCTTTTTTACTATTATATCTCTAGGATCTGGCACAAAATAAGTGCTCAATAAGTATTTGTGGAATGAATAAATAAATAAGGAATCTCCATTCTCATATCAGTCATTTATTCAACTTTCAGTCATTCCACAAATACATATTGAATATATACTATATGGCAGACACTGTGTTATAGTTGCAGTGGTAATCAAAATATACGTAATCCTTGCCTTCAGAGAGCTTTTGGAGAGAAGGAGGGGGGAGATAAACACAAAATAAATGCTAAATATGTATAATTATGAAAGATTTTGAAGAAAAGCATATCAAGAGACCTAATTTAATTTCCTCATATTTGTGAGTTTCCCAAATTTTTTCCTGCTTTTGATTTCTAATTTCATCCCACCGTGGTTGCAAAACACACTGTGTATTATTTCTTTTTTAATTTATTGAGGTTTGTTTTATAGCATAGCATATAGTCTGTCCTAGAAATTTTCCTTGTCCACGTGAGAAAAATGTGTATTGATGTTGGGTAAAGTGTTCTATAGATGTCTTTTAGGTCTAGTTGGTTTATACTGTGTTTCAAGTCTTCTGCTTCCTTGTTGATCTTGTATCTAGTTGTTCTTTACCATTGTTGAAAGTGGGATATTGAAGCCTCCTACTGTTATTATTGCAGTGTCTATTTCTCTCTTCATTTCTGTCAGTTGTTGCTTCATGTATTTTGGTACTCTGTAATTAGGTGCATATATGTTTATAATTGTTATATCTTCCTAATGGATTGACCCTTTTATCATTATGAAATGTCCTTCTTTGCCTCTAATAACATTTTTTGCTTTAAAGTCTATTTTGTCTGTATTAACATAGCCACTCCATCTTTCTTGTGGTAGCTCTTTGCATGATTTATCTTTTTCCATCCTTTTGCTTTTCATTTCTTTGTATCTTTGAATTTAAAGTGATAAATATGGGGCCAGCCTGGTGGCGTAGCAGTTAAGTTCGTGTGCTCTGCTTCAGCAGTCCAGGGTTGCCAGTTCGGATCCTGGATGCGGACCTACTCACCGCTCATTAAGCCATGCTGAGGGGCCGTCCCACATAGAAGAACTAGAAGGACCTAGGATATACAACTATATCCTGGGGCTTTAGGGAGGGGAAAAAAAAGAAAAAGGAAGATTGGCAACATATGTTAGCTCAGGGCCAATCTTCCTCAAAATAAAATAAAAGAAAGTGATAAATAAATAGACAGCATATAGTTGGGTCATGTTTTTTATCCAGTCTGATAACCTGTCTTTTGATTGAATTGTTTAATTCGTTCATACTTAATGTTATTATTGATATAGTAGGATTT